CCCCCCCCCCCCCCCCCCCCCCCCCCCCCCTCAGTTTTCTGCAGTGTACTGTGTGGTGTGTGGTGTGGTGAACACTTCCAATTAACGCTAGTATGTCACTGCCGTCATCCACAGCCGTACATAGTGCATCTCTGGAATTACAACTCTGTTCTCAGAGAACTTCTGAGCCACTCACACAAATAAAGTTGTCAACGGCAATCTATTAGTACACAGGAAGAGGGGGGGGAGGGGGGTGGCAAACGATGTACTTACTGAATACGGACGTACTTTTGTCAAAACGGAGAAAACGGAGACGGAGTCTTTGTCTGCCTTGGAAATGTGATTATGCCGTTTCGACGTCACAGTGCACATCCTGCGGTGGTTGGAAGGGGCCCCACCCTGGTCCCTTTTTTGAAAGCGTTTTTCATTAAGGATTTTCGGCAAACACCTTTTGCCATCCTTTGGATGGAATGCTATTTTGTATCGAACTTTTCTCTATAGAGACCACCCAAAATGTCCGAAAGTGGCTTTCGATGTAACCCTCGAATGTTCCAAATTAACAGAAGAAAATATGCTCAAAACGGCGATAGTCCTGGAAGTACCACCGCTCCTATTTAAAACCCCATGTTTCTTCCCGTTGTCAAGAGGAACACGAATTAAGGCGAGCTGTAGTGGAACCTCCGTTTCGGGGAAGTTGGATCTACCTTATCAGAAAAGCGTCTTTCACGAGCCGAACGAAGGCCGACAAACCTGCCATTTCATCCGTTCTACCCGAAAATAAGTTTTGGAAATGAAAATGAAGATAAAATTCTCACTGATACCCAGCCATTGTTGTTTTGTCTTTTCTCAAGTGATCGTGGGTCCGCACTCGGTGTTTCTCATGGGCAAGCATATAACTGCACGGGGAAGTGTTCCGATTTAGGCCAAACATCGCTCCCCGTGGAACCGGATGTGGTCTGTGGACTTGAGCGTATGCTGAGGAGTAATTATGGGCTCAACGGGGAAAGAAATTTTGGAAGGGTTTCTTGACAACTTTCTGAGCAATTTTTTATTGAGTATTTCAGCGGTTTCTGAGTAAACGGATAGCCATCAAACCTCTGAGGCATCTTCGATTTCTTCCCTCAGTCTCATTCTCGGGGCTCTCAGCCACTTCAGCTCATTATCCTAATAAAACCCACTGCTGCAAAAAAACCATCCAGAAAATTAGCAGAAACTTTGATATCTGCTATTATCTGCAGATTCACTGAGTCTTTGTCTGTTCTGGCTAAAAGGTCACTTCCGTTGAGTGTTTAGAACCCACGTAGATCAATTTCAACGAATGATGGTGAAAGGAAACCATTAGAGTCGATTCAACACTAGTGCTCCGGTTCCTTTACACAGTATTGTTTGCTTTCTAACGGTAAGATACAAAACCTGCCCAGTGTTGAAGAAAATTGCCAAATTACCCTAAACGTCCTTTCTTCGTGATAATCGTGAAATACCCGTCGACTTCGAGGTGGGTAACATCTGATGTGGCTGGAGACGACGACTTCAATGTCGTTCTGCCTCAGTTTTCTCTGGAACATGGACAAATCTCACTGGTTCATTCAGCGACCGCGCCCCGTAGATAATAAACGAAGCCGCAATGAATGCCGACCGACAGGTGAAACGAATTTCGATCAAAAGCGAACGACTGAACCCATAAAACGTTTCATGTTTTAGTTCCATGTATCGCTCTTCCAGCATCCATTCTCACCATCGAGTTCTAAAATTAGTATTCCTCTGACTTGCTGCGTTGGTGTAAGTGAAAAGGAATTTCTCAAGCGACAGCAGGAGGTGTTGTACTGGACAGTGCACAACAGAGCAGGCACAGAAGTGCAGGCGCAAACATTTTCCGAGATTTACTGGTAATAAGACAGCAACTCACTTAATGAGCTTCGACGAAGTTCTTGAGTTCTTCACGCCTTTGACTTCTATAAATATCGTTCACACTACATGACTGTCATTCTTCAATTCCTTATGTACGTTTTATGACGATGACATAAAAACGGGGTCTTGGGTCAATCGCGGAATTCCTACACTATTTGAAAGAGCTATTTACCTGGAAGAATAGTTTCCTAGCTTTCCTTCTGACGGTGGGATGAAGATATGGTTCCCAAGGACGGCACGTGGGTCAATGTCAATTCGAAAATTGACCTCAACAGGTCGTTATAAAGGCTCCAAAAATGGCTTGGCCGATGTACACAGCCAAATTGGTCGTATTATGACGACCTTGTTGAGCCGTACCATTCACAATGAAACTTTAGGATGCCGGCGAATAGTACGCTGGTATTGGAGATTCCAGACGATTACAGACACATAATATCGCCCAAAACCTTTTCCTACCACCTTTTTGAAGCCTTAATTTCTTGAGATCCATTGATTTTCACTCTCTTCTTCATTTTTGCGATCTGCACCATGAATTGCATCACTTCACTTGAGCTAGGTACTTCAGAATTATCGTGAATTGTGCCTCAACCGTCATTAAAAGTTTTTTTGTCGAATGCTGGCACGAGTGTTGGCCGAGGCCTCAATTTTGGCAATCGCTGAACTCCTGCAATTAACAGCGCATTTTACTGGTAACGAAGAGTTCGCATCGCTCAGTAATCGAACTCCCAGCCAAACATTACCAAATTCTATAGTAGGAGCGAAAGGCGAAGTTTCGGATTCCAAACAGAGAAATGGTGTGAAGATTATCATGAATTTCTCAAATACCTGAGAACAATTTACCCTTTTTTCCATTTGTGGACCTTTGATCGATTCCGTTTGAAAACGATTTCTGTTTCAGCATCGAATGGTGGGCCTTCTCATGTCTGAGTTTTGCTATGATTCTGGCCACCGTCACTTCGATGATTGGTCTGTCGAACAACAAAAACTTTCTTCTTCTACCACATCTATTCCTATTGGTAAGTTCCAGTCAAATGGTTCAATAATAAGCTCATCAGTCGTGGCAATTATCTCACGCAATCCGGTCGGTTTCCATAGCAGGTAATCACATAGTGGACCACTAACCGTTTCGCTCGCATCTGAATCGGTTTGATGGTCCGCATCCAGCCAGCCATTGGCGGAATGCATTTTTCTTTGATTACTTCCCTATGCCTTATTTTTGATATGATTTATTTTTAGGAAATCGAGATTCACTTTCTTGTAGGGATTTTTCTCTAGATACTTCCTCCGAATAGCCCCTACATTCTCCTTTTCTAATTATGCTTCTTCAGCGTTTGTCGAGCATAGGAGCGCGTTTCGCTTTTCTGAACTACGGACAACATTTTTCCGGAATTAATACTTGGTCGAGATGGAGGCCTCCTAATTTCGCGCCCTCGTGCAATTTATCAAGACACCGTTAATTTGGAATTCTATCAGGCCGTTTCCTGTGTACGTTGAGGCTGAGGCCGATCGTACAAACGTTGTCTTTGTCTACGGACATGGCCATACAATTTGAAACTACCTTTGGGCATCTTATCATCAGGAGCTTGTTCGAAAGCTCCTTTATTGCATCTTTGCAAATACCTTCAAGGTCCGATTCGAAAGGTAGTTGTCTTGATCCAAAAGGAGGAGAATTTCGATACAGAAAGGGATGAATGCAGTTCTCATATCCCGTTGAAAGTAGAAAAAAGGCTTCCAGTAGACTGCCTAGGAATGTTCGTATAAGTATTCGATCATTATAGTGAAGAGATTCAAAAGTGAAAAGTTCGACTAAGACTACTAAGCCCGGTCAGTTGAGAAGAAGCTCTTCAAAGCTTAATATACAGCGACTCCCTCTGAAAACCCTCCAGTGGGATCTCTTGAAAAACAAGAGGCATTTTAAACCGACTTTAACAAACGCCCGAGCACGAATCTTCCTCTCTTCCTCGCATGTATTCCTTTCAATCACATATTCTCTACTTTTCAATTAATATTAAGTGATTTACAATAGATTCAGTCCGGAGTAAATTTCATTTTCTGTTAAGACACAAGCTATTGGAAGGCGTTGTCCCCGTTTCCAAAACTAATTTTTGGTAAATTTCCCCATGAGTAAGAATTTTCCCCTGAATAGCAGAACGCTCACTGAAAGAGAAATTATTCATGCATCCTACAGGTTTAATATGAGTCTGAACAGCTTCATGTTGCTCAGGAGGTTATGAACGCCTAGCTTTATCGAAGGTCGAAATTCTGGGAACTCCACGAAGACATCGGCTATATGAAAACAGGCCCAATACTTGAGGAACCATTCTGTGTATACCATTCTGCTCAATAACTTTTTCCATCGGTCGGGTAGCTGCACATTCTCGTATTTGTCCTGAAATTTCCATTAGAAAAGAAAAGCTTGATCTGAGAATTAGTTTGTCCTTTCAAACTAGTGCTCCTTTATCTGAGCTGGAGGGTCTCTATCTGGAAGAAGAAGTTGAAGGAGGGCTTGCGATAGCCTAGCAGTAGAGTAGACCACCTAATCTTAGCACCATGCTTCAAATCTCTTCTCGGTCGGTGGAAAACACGTGCGACCACTGTTCTAGAGGATGTAGCTTTCTTACCGTCAGCTGATTCGAGCCACTCCTAGTCAGCTAATCATTTTACTTAACACAGCTGTAGAGAGTTTTTTCTCTTCAAGGTAAAAGCTTATGGCAAACAACTCCCTTCCTTTCCGTCTGAAGGCGAATGCACAACAGTTTAAGGGGCATTTCAATGCTTACAACATGATATCCTCCTTCTAAGTATCTCTCGAGCTCATCATGATCGGTGCAGTTGAATGGTCCCAGATCGACCTGGGATTTCATGGGAACACATGGGCATACAGCGCGCGGTCTTGCGGGTAACCAGAAAGCTCATCATGTTCGGTGCAGTTGAATGGTCCCAGATCGACCTGAGGTTTCATAGGAACACATGGGCATGCAGCGGATTGCTTTTTATTGGAAAGGTCTTAATATTTTTCCTTAACTGAAACGTTTGGATGGGCTTGCAAATCATTCCATGATCATCTTAAAAGGGCGAAGTCTCTGTCATTTTTACTTTCATGAACTTCCTTCCTCCTCCTTACTCCATTCCCTATATAAAAATGATTTTTCAAATGCCCCTATACGAATTTTCTCTACACCATTCAGTAGTTGTACGAAAGTTTCTTGAATTTCCCAATTCAGCTAGTCTTCTGCCTATTTGCCGCTCGAGTGCTGCTTGGTGTCGTGTTCGAATTCGACTTTTCAGAGCCGAATTGGACATTCAGGATCGCTGTACTTGCATTAGCAGGTACCATTTTATTCCTTGTTTTCGTTGCTGCCTTTGATCTCACACTTTTCAGAAATTTTTCTGTTCTGTTCATTATTTTGCGAGTTTCACACTCTCAAAACTCACACCTGAATGGATCATCGGGTAAGTTCTTCAAAATTGTACGGCAGACTCGATTTCCACTTTTCTAGTTCTTGCTTAAGGTTGTTCTTGGCGGCGAAATGGTCGTGTTGATCGCTGGCCTCACTGGTATCGGTATGCTCCATGGTTGGACTGAGGGTGTCGGCTATCATATGAGGGAATACTACACACCACTGTGAGTTTTCAAAAGTTCAAAAAGCAATGACTATGGTTGTTTTTAAGTAGAAATCGAGACAACAACCCTTCACTATCAGAAGTTTTGAGATTTTAATCGGAAAAGTCGATTTTTCCCGTATGGCTTCTTCAGTGCCGTCTCCAACTTGAAATGGAGCCTTTAAGAACAAGAATTATGCTGTACTCCTAAGCTCAACTTCCATCAGAATGATCAACTCTGCTTTGAGACACCATATCCGACGCCCGGTTTATTTCTATGTTGTAACGAAAAGACGATTTTGTATTCGTGATCATTCCCAAAAGTGGTCGTCCCTGATAAGGGACCTTCTTCCGATCTAATCGTTGCCGAAAGATTCTATATTTTGCTGAGAAACATGGAGGAGTAATATATTGGAAAAATTTCGTTTCTCGGTGGCCCTTGATGGCATTGAACTGACAATGTGAATTCGGTTGATTGTTTTCCGCCTTCATAAAACTTCACGTGAGGAGGAGTCGTCGTCCTAAAAACTTAAAAGGGTGGAGCGGAAATGGTGACCACTCAATCAAAGTACAACCATATAGGGAATTCTGAAGAACTACTACCTTAAGAAGGCGAAGCAAGATAGGTCCACAGCTCACAGATGCCAGCTCAATGCCTACTACGCTTTGCAAGTTATGAACCAATCTGACTTTGTTTCAATTCTGAGTCCTTATTCTTTGAGTCCTCCAGCTGGCCAGTGTTCAACGCCACGAATATCTACTGAATTAAAGATGCCGAATATCTACTGAATTAAAGATGCTCGAAGTTTTGTTCCCTTTGTGTCTAAAGAACGGTTCAGATCGGGAAGACGCCTTTTCAAAGAAGCAGTTAAGGGATGGATCTAATGTGTTATCGAACACTTGCTCAACAATTAGCTGAGTAAACAAATTACCAGCCTCATGAGCTATCAGTTCGACATTTGCAATCCTAACGGGGACCAATGACGGCCTCACCCACGAATCGAAGTGTCAGGGAAGAGAACAAGGGGACGATAATGTGGGTTTCCGAAAAACGCTCCCAAAACATTCACTTCGCTATATTGATTCATTAAGAAGTTAAAGTCAACGGATGTAAAGTGGTGAGGAGGGGGTGGGAGAAGACTGCGGCTCATTCATGCTCCATTCCAGTCCCTGTAAATTCAAGACGATTGGTTCTTCTTAAAAGATGTCTTGATAGCAACCAGCTGAACTTGGCAGGAAAAAAACCTTTCTGGATTAGGGCCAATATGAGTTACATTAGTTAAGGACCATTTTCTTACCTCCTTGCATAGAATCACATTGTGTGGTAGCAAGATTTGGGCCGGTAGGCACAGAAAAAGAAGCGATTGTGCCGAATGGTTCGTCGATGACAAAAAACACCAAAAAGGATTAGCCAAAAATTCATAAAAACTTCTTTTTGAGCATACGCTTTATGCTCATGAAGATGGTTATTTTTTCATCTGCACCCTGGGATTCTGGGCAGGAGTCAAGGCTGGGAACGAGAAGGAATAGAGTGCACCGGCTTGAGATCAACTGGTGAACTTGAGAAGCCACAGAACAACCTTTGCTCAGAGGCGGGGCTATCTGCGCAGGTAGCTCCGCCTCCTTCGAAACGGTATTTGAGCCCAGCTAATCTAATTGTAGGCCACGTACATATATCATCTCCCCTGACTCTTCGGTAGCTCTACAAAGACTCCATCCCTGAAGTGTTCCTAACTGGTAATTTGACAACAAACCTTGACTTAATGTTAATTAATTCCTTTGTTTTCAGATGGTTGTGTGCAGTATTGATGTGTCTTTTGCTGGCTCTAGTCATCTCGCTTTTCTTCGTGTTTGTCTGCCTTCATTGCAATAATCCGGGTATTATTAAACAACATATTATATTATTGGTGAGTCATTGCCGAGTTCTCATGCTCTTTCCCTACGCTATCCGATTTCATAATAAATCAACCCCGCTTCAGTTCACTGCGCGCGCTGCTGGTGTGCGCAGAGCTTCCCACCAAGTTCCTGGCGTTTCTGCGAGAAATCCACAGCTCCCTACCCACACTGGGAACTGCTTTCAGGAAACTCTCTCGAGATTCGCATTCGTTTTGTTAGACTGATTTTGTGGTAGTTTCCCTCTACTAGCAACCCTTCTCTTCTTCTTTTCTGCCATTGAATTCATGACGTAGTTAATGTATAGCAGAAGGTAAATCCACCCGCTTCCACAGGTTCTCACTGTTGAGAATCTGAACGAAGGGGTGGATTTAGTGTCTCATGATGATGATCAGTCGAAGTTGAAAAAAAAAAGATCCTAAAAGAATTTCCACGTTCGGTCTTCTTGAAACCTGAGCATTTTACATAATGTTTGATACCGCTCTGCCGTACAGGTTTATCATAGTTNAACCGCTTAATTGGTCATCGTTTCGACCAAATCCGTCTTCAGGACCTAAAAATAGTTCAAAGTTTCTGAACTGCGACTTACCCGACCAATAAAGCGGTTCAACCATAACAAACCTGTACGGCAGAGCAGTATTAAACATTATGAAAGATCCTGAAAGGAAAAGGGAGTCGTCTTGTAGAACTCCGTTCATATCCACACTGCATTCATTCTAACCACAAAAGAGGAGCCCTTTAGTAATAACCTGCCCTTCCCTGTGACGATGACAACCCGAGCGATCGTCGAAATCACCCGAAAACTCTTGTTATCGATCATTTTCGCTTTTCCCTTGTGTGAAGTTTCAGAGCGGACAACCACTAGCCTAAAGACATTCTTCTTGTCCCACTTGCACGGATGAAGTTCGTCAATCAAACGTATAGTGTAGGGTAGGATGGGTAGCCTATAGCAAAATCCACTGCAATTCAACCATACGACCGCAATATTTCATGTCCTTCTTATACGAGACTTTATCAGTCGGATGTGAACTGCCCAGAAATCAAACCGAAAAGTTATAAGAAAAAACTTCCCGACAGCGACTTTCCCACGAAAAATTCCGACCATTACTTTTTTTGCTGTTCTTCCTTGACCAGTTTCAACAGCTATTCAATTTTAGGTAACGTCGTGGCCAATAGCTGTGCTTCTGACTGCGTCTGCGGTAGTGTCGGGTGCACCACTGCTCGTTGGGTTTCTGCTCATACTCTACTTCACAGCTCTTCTACCATTTGCTCGACTCTATAATACAGTCAAATGGACTGAAACTATTGACCCTCCCGTTTGAGCATCTTTGTCTACCCACTCATGAACACCCACCACCCGTCAAGCGTTCGCCATACACCTGCCAAAGGCCCCTTGTCTGTTCTTGTCATTTTGCAAATGCTTGTCGCCGTTATTTTATTTCTGGAAAACTCTCTCAACCTCACTAAAAATGCCGAGCATTTCGATAATGAGGAAACAAAGTGAGCAATTTCAATGATTAGGGTCTTTTTTGAACGAACTTCGAGTTATTTATTGCTTTTCTTTAGAATTGTTGTATTTGTGGCTTGGATAGTTGTTCTCCTCTGGCTTCTCACCATTCTCATTTCGCTTATCGCGTTATTCACCAACTCCTACAACCTACTGCTTCCACATCTTTTCTGGACGGTAGGTTCGGGAGTGGAACCACATTTTAGGTGCTACTAGTTGAAATTCATTCCATTCAGAGTTTTCTATGCGCAGTTACTACAGTCTGTTCGCTAACGCTCTTCTTCTCCAACACAAGACCGTGGACGATGTTTCTGTCAAGCGGGATTGCCGTTTTGCTAGGCACATCCGTAGTCGTCGAAACCAAATGTTTTCTAGCAATGCGGCAATGTTTGCGATGATCCACTCACCCCTAGGCAGTAGTACGACTCTTTATCCGCTATCCATTCGAAGCCATCCAATTGATTGAAGTTTTTTTGTTGTGATCAATCTCACTTGTAAATACTTCACTTGCTAAGTGCTTTATAATGTTTTAATGTGAATGAACAAATTGAATTTGTTTGAATGATAAGCTTCCCATAAATTCGTTGAACTCCCATATGTTCGCGACATTTACGTTCACGTTTAGGTGCACTGGCGTCAAATCGCTACTCTTTAAAATTGCTGAGAAAACTGGGAGATACCACTGAACTTTTGCAGAGGAAAAGCAGAAGACGACGAAATAGTAGAGCAAAGTGCTATAAGAAAAGCGTAGACCGGATTTGTCAAGAAGGCCTACTGTAGGTGAATAGGTCCCGTACGAAAAACGGTCCCGTAGTTCAACTCTTCTAGGAAGACTGAAAGTTCCTCACAGAGGACAGAAGGGAAAAGTTCGTTGGCGTTAATCAATCCCGTCAGAGTGGCCAATGTACAAGTCAATGCTTTTATTCTTCCAGACGGATCTGGCACTAATTAACCGACACCGGAGGGATTGCAGGTCTGCTCAGATTAAGAGAGTCCGATCCGGGATTTCAATCCGGAACCATGCGTGTGTGATAGTACGCCACTTGGCACTCATTGCACCACTTCAGCTCAACACTTGCTCATATGAAAAAAACCGCATTCGAATCCTCACCAATATTTGAATAGACTGGGCTTGTCAGCAGGACGGGTCAGTCAAGTTTGCGACAACCCCTCCAACAAAGAACATTCTTCGAGTAAACAGGAGGCATAAGAGAAACTTGGCTCTTAAACATTACCTTAACAGAGGAAATTCCTCAAAGTGGCGAACACAGCAGGGGTGTGGTGCAGTAGGATCGAAATTGTCGCGTCGCGGGGAGAGGGACGCCGCGCACGGAGGGATGTAGCATAATATAGCAGCAGCTAAGAAATACAGGAACAAAGGAACTAACAGTAGAGTCATGCCTAAAATAATGACCACATATCGATTGAGCTGGACGAAGAATGCTAGAGCTGAAATAACGGCATAGCGGATAGTCGCGACAACCGCGTGCGGCGAATCGATTACACAAAACCGTTCCTACTAGCAGAAACGACGTATAGAAAAATGCATGAAGATCAAACCTTAACAGTGCCAACTTCAGATCAATTTTTCGCAACGGGTAGAAAGGCTACTGTTTCCGAGTATAGGACCATTAATATAGTCCGTCGGCAAGTCGATCGTAATCTCAAGTGGTTCATCAGGAAGGTCACGGCGAAGCTGGACGTATCGAAGCCGCAGATAGCGATAGCGATGATTGTCGATAGCGCAGATGGTCTAAGAAAGGCTCATTGTCATCCCTATTGTATGCAAANGTACCACTTTATTTCTGATCTCAGCAGACAGTAGAGTTTAGGAATGCAGAATGTACTGGCTCGATGGGTGGAGAAACGCATCCCTCCACTGTTTTCTTAATACGTTGACGACAATGTCGCGCAATGGTGTACAGACATTCTGTCTCGTGGGATGATGTCGCTCAATGCTGAGCGACGGTATACTATTTCAATAAAAATGTATGCGCCCGTTCCGTTTTTTTTTCAGACTCTCAATTTATACTTATAAGCGTCCAAAAGAGCACCAAGCAGCTATTAAATGAATTCCAAGATTAATATTAGATTAATATTTAATTTTTATTAACGATTCACCAATTCACAATTCTGATCACCAGCTTCCGCTTGTGCGTTCTTGAACTGTTCATTGGCGTGTTAGTGAATGGAAGTAATTGATTCTGATTTTCCTGATCTTTTCGCAATACAGAACCAAGCAATGACCAAGACAGTTTGGGTTACGAAGTGAAAAAACAGTCTATTGAGGTCAACGAATCCTTTCATAATAGTATTACAATCAACTACAACTTAAGGCTTGCCGTTCGGGTGGGAGCATGCGTCAAAAATTATGTGAATGCCTTTCCTGTCTCTCCATTTCAGAATCAGCACTCCATTCAGGCTCTGCTGGTTAAACTCTCCTCTCTGCAGCTTTTTTTAGTTCGGATGGTTTGAGGAATTCCCCCAAGATTTCTTTGAAAAGTTCCAACTATGTCTGTCTTTTTGTTGAGTAGATTATGGGCAAGCGACAAACCCCTGTACCAGTTGTCGGTACAAAGGCATCGTCCTTGTATAATGGAACCGCCCATTAGCTTCATTACTACAGGTTCTGCCACACTGGGTGTCCGTTTCGGATCTTTTCCGGCGTTACCTTGACCTTCTGAGTATAGCCAGCACGAGAGCAGAGGTTGAGTAGTTCAATTCCAAACCAATGAACCCGCATTCAAGTGTATCACCGCCAAATATGGAAGTACCCCGAGTACAAATATAGGGCAAAATCGAATATTGCTGGATGGTTTGCGAAATATTTCCTCGTACCATTTGTTTTCGAATGTTTTTGACTCTAATAATTCTTTTTTTTTTGAGGATATTAAGATATGATTTCAAGGAGGAAACTATCTCGTTCCACGCACAGTCGGGAAAAAATGGGCTCGTCGTCAACGAGTTAAGATTCACAGGGTGTAGCCAATCCTCTTCTGGTAAAACGATCGCGTTCTGGCTAGAAACATCGGAAGTACTGCTCTCACGAAAAGTTGTTGTAAAAACAGCAAAAAGATGTTTATGAAGGAAGTCATAGGCAATTGTGACACGGCATTGGTTTCGTTGGTATCGCATGGAAATTAACGAAGACATGTACTCAAAGAACATACTGATGGCCGAACGAAGTCTCGATCCTGTCGTGTTAAATAGCTCTGGTGTTTCTAGAAGGACGATATCAAAACCCACATGAACAAAAGCTAGTCCAAGAAGAGCAGCCGCGAGCTGCCCGACTTCATGAACCTTTGGGAATGGCCATCATGCCACCATAATTGCACCACCTGAACTCGCCTCGTGGTCCCTGATTAGAAGGAAAACCTGTCCAGTTTGCCAGCTCGGTTNTGTGCAATTACGAGTAGTTCAAGACAGACTTTGTGCCTGTATCCGTTCTCATGGAGGATACTTTAAAATACGATTGTGGCTTGTTGTTGCGCATAATGTAAACAAACGTATATATAGATTAAATTGGCATTCTCAGCTTAGAAACATGAAATGCATGGCGATGTATAGGCTTCTATAATTTTGGGACATCCTGTTGTTTATAACTACGAACCTTGGATGTCCTACAGTCTGCCAGTCTGCAAAATGTCACGTAGGCCCGATGAAGAGTGTGAAATGTCACGTAGAAGCCGTGAGGAAAGTGATGCAAAATGGGAAGCCTGCTCATATGTTTATATTGATCCCTCGATCGATATGGACTCATATCAAGCGAGCGGGATATTCGCAGAACAACTTCGGATCTTCCAACTCGGAAAGTACCATTTTATCCTAATACCTCCAACATTCCACTGACTAAATTTCAGCATGTTACTTCTCTACACTACAGACGACGATGCGTCACGATCCCAGCGAACTCAGGAAGAATAAACGTTAGGTTACGTGGGCTAAAAGTGAACTTTTTGCTTACGAATAATGTTTTACAGAAATACCTCCGGCAATGAACTCATCACATTTTTCGTGCTTTTTCAGGAATATTCTATAGTTAAAGGCGCAGTCTACAATAATTTTGAGGTACTTTTTGCGTTCAGAAGCGAAAGCGTTCAGAAGCGTTGTCCAAGAATAGTGCACGGTGAAGAAAGCGAAAAAATCGACAAAACTTGTAAACTACAAGATACCTCGAAAGGAGTGAAGGAAGGGGTTGTACGAGATCACCAAGACAGAAATGCTATAGAAGCATTATTTGAACGACATTTCACTCCTTCCTTCGCCTAAAGAGCTGGTTGCATTGGATCAAAATGCCCAAAATCGCCTTCCACTGTCCCCATGGGTCACAACTGATTGATCGGGCTTACAGCGTGGGTTTCCTTTATGGATGGTATAGCCTCTGCAACGCAGTTGAAACTCGTTCTTCATTAGTTATGAAATGCAGTAGATACAATATTTGAACAGTTATTACGCTTTATCAGGGCCATTTTCCCATCTGACAGCGCCACGTGTGGTCATGGCACACACAGATTCATTCCAAGGGCATATCTCGGAAACCTTTTCTTCGCGACCCCTTTGCCTTTGAGCCTGAGCCAAATGTGATTGAAAATGTGACAGCTGCGTACTTTAGAGAACATTTTACTTTGAATACTTCTCACTAGATATGTCATTCCCGGCAGTGAAAGCTAAGTGGAATTTAGCGTAAAGTATTGGCATGTATACTACTGAAATGTTGAGAGGTGAATGATAAAAGGATAGTTTCCGGCCGTCAAGCAATTCCGTCCGATGTAGCGCCCATACATTCGACTTCCATCCAGAATCGTAGTAGCGCACTGACCTACTGTGGCCTATAAATGACTTGCGGTGGACAGTCGATGTACAAATCAGTGCTTTTATCCTCCCAGACGAACCTATTTAGTATCAATTGACCGACCCCGAAGCGATGAAAGACTCAACCGGTCTAGGCGGATGCCGATCAGCATGATTCAGAGCGCCACATTCCAGTGGGTGATTTAGGATTTTACGTACGAAATCTAGTTACTACCCCTCTCACTCCTTCACGTTCAGCTATCTTTCAACGAACGGCAAAGAGCTAAAATTAAAGCACTGCCTGACCGTTCTCATTTGCCCAATCTTCGATCAAGGAAGGGGTCTACCTTCGCATCAGCTCCTCAACTAGGACTAACGCAGAAGTTATGCTATCCATGACTGGAATAGTTTTAGTTTTTCAAGGTGAGCCATTTGACCATATTCAGTATATCAGCGTCTCAACCGGCGCTCAAGAAGGTCCACATGAATCAGATTAAAACGTGTTATACCTTGTCAGGCCCTGCGTTTACAACTCCAAGTGCCGCTAACCGCAGCCGGTGCGTCAGAGAACCTTGCGGAAGGTTATCAGCGTAGTCGAGGCCTCGCA